ACACAAGCACACACATGTGATATTCACCAAAACTTTTTTACATTCATTTTTCACATGTATTTTACAAGTTCTTCTCAGAAAGCTGGGAAGAAAAAAAACTCATAAACTAATGCGTAGAAAGTCTCTGTAATGTATTTTGGAAAAGGCTGAAAGTTAAAATAACATGGAGATTTTAGAACTTTTAACAGTTGTTTTGGAAGTACTTTTACCATGCATTTAAATGCACCTGCATCCTTTCTAGTGTTCCATCATTAGTTAGTAGCATTTTGTATAGCTAGCTGTCAGCCCTGTAGCATATATAGTGACAAGAAAGTAGAAGATATTTATTATGGTATGCATGGCATGCTAATGAGTTGCAGAATAATGCTTCATCAGAGCGGTTCTTAAGAATCTCATTGATTTCTTGTGTTTAAAAATCTTGAATCTGCTTCAATATATTGTTTGCTATGGACAATTATTCAGCATTCGTATGTGGTGGAATGAACAGGATTTGATTCCCATGTTTTTTAGAATTTTGATTTTAGAAACTTTGATATTTCTGTCTTCTCTCTTTCCCTCTCTCTCCTTTTTTTTTGGGGGGGGGGGAGGGGAAGTATAGGAAGGTAGTTCAGTCAATTTTTATTTATTTTCATTTTATCCAAATTTCTTCCATTTAGAATTCTATAACATTTAAGAAAATACCACATTATTTTCTTCTTTTATAGGCTCGTGGGGCCTTACAAAGCCTTTGTTTGTTTTGAGAATATAGCTTCAGTTGAAGTATTTAAAAAATTCAAATCCTACAGTAAGGAGTTATATAATATCCTTTATCATGTCTAATGAGGGCTATATTTGGAACGGTCTATTTTAAATTATAAAGGCTTTTTTTGAACTGAGAACAGCTTGAAAGTATGTGTCTTAAATAAATAAATAAAAGGAATAGAAGGTTGTCAGACCTAATTGTATACAGGGATGTTGGATTATAGAGAGCAAGCCCAGGCTGTGCACACACAAAGATGCGAGAGCGCAGCGAGTTCTGGGTCCGTATGACATGTGAAGACTTAACCTCCCGTGATGGAGGGTGAATTTAATGCTAAGAGTCGGAACTAGAAATTAGCCACTGGGCTGTGAAATGGGTTAGCATAGTTCACTGGAAGCGTGTTGCAGGCTCTGTGAATTGAACATCAAGGAGTTTAGATATTGCACGCTGGTGCATAAATATTTTATAATATTCCCTTGTCTACTCATGCATGCCTTATCATATGTGAACACTTACTGGGAAGCATCTGTAAGTGTTTAGAGGTGTGAGGCTCTGTGAGCGTGTTGACAGTTTGCTGAGGTTGCATTAAGACAATCCTGTCGTCCTCTATGGCTTTTTTCAGAGGAAAAAGGGAATAAATGAGGAAATATAGCAAAAATTTGAAAGATGTGATATGCAGGGAAAGATTCCTTCACACAGGTGTGAAAGGAAATAAGTAGGAGATATAATGTGGGAGCTTTCTTTTTTCTGCAAAGGTTAATGGAAAAAAAAGAAAAAAACTGTACTGCAGACATAGTATATTGAAAAAAGACTTGTCAATGCAACACGTACAAACTTCTGAAGAACTTTTTAACCAAGTTTGGAAGCTGATAACACACTAATATGTGGTAAGAGAATTTAAAGCCCAGGGCAAGATTCTTGAGAAATCACTCATCGTACAATTCATGAGTTTACTGTATTTTTTAAAACCTATATTACTAGCTTTTTCTTCTACCTATAATAGCTAGCAGCATGCTTCTTTTTACATTTACAAAATCCTTCTTTCTTTCTGATTGACTCTGGAAAGTCGATCAGTTACAAGCACTATAGAAGAGGAAGTGTGTAAGAAGAAGAGAGGATTTAGCTAACTAGGATCTTTTTAGACGATTGAGATAGCACCAATAACGGCTCCTATTTTGTTCATTTGCAGCTTAAATAGTGGACAGAATAGGAAAAATAAAAAGGAGGAAAAAGGTACCGTGAAGAGCAAACTAACTTGTTTTACAATCCAAGTGTTGGGTTATAATTGTAGGTGTTTGGAGTAAATGTTGCTTTGAGAAAAAGAACACTTGCACATTGTTAGATCACAGCCAGGAGTTAAACTGTCTGATTGAAGTGGTAGTGTGTTTAGCTCTGGGTTGATACATGCTGTTAAATGTGTGAAGATGCTTTTACCCCAAATCTGTTATAAATTAAATCATTCAGTGCATTTTTAATCCCTTATAAGTGATATAGTACTTCTGGAAATAACAACTTGAATCAGTCGAGAAAAATTCCCCCCAATACTTTTTTTTCTTTGTTAGAATGTGGTTCTATGGCTAACATGAATGTAACGTTTCCCAAAGATTGTGCATCCTCAATATGACTTATGACTTTAATACAGAATGTGCAAGACTCCCGAAAGTGCCCAATAGTTTCCCTGTTACCAAAATGAGAAGATGATTAGATTAGTTTCTCTGAGAGACTTCTCCATCTTTCACATTTGACATTTTGCTGCAGTACAGATGATGCTCAGCTTCTGTTTGGGATGCAGTGCCAGCAGGATGTGAGGGCTGCCCATTTCCAGAGGGAAAGTCCAGAGTTCAGTGTTTTTTATCTTGCTTTTTCTCATCAACACTGCCTTAGTTACTACACTTATTTCTCTTATCAAACTATGAGAATTCTACTGTTAGGCCAATGGAGAACTTTAATGTGGAAATGTATTCAATCAAAGAAGATTAAGGGATTATCTGTGTGTGACCTGTGTTAGTGTGCTGCTGCATAGAAAGCAACGAAGTAGGATTGGAAATTCAACCTTAATTTGTAGGTAAGGTAATTCAACCTTTCTCAATTCTTAGAAAACAGGAAGAAAAGCAGGAATTTGGCATCCTCCTCCTTGTGCAGACACAACGTTTTGAGGAGAGAGTCTCAGGCAAAAGAACAGGAGAAAAATAGTTTCTGTAGGAAAGAAGCATCCTCTGTGGTGAGAATGGCCTGATCGTGACCTAATCCAAAGCTCATGATCAAGCCTGCTTTTTTTCTACCGTCTTATCAGTCTCTTCACATTGCTATATGGGAAGTTTGTTACTCTTTTCTATGTTTTATTCTCTTTATCCAATGAGAAAGACTCCCCTTAGTGCAGGCTCCCCTTGACGTCTTGCAGTGCTCCCCAGCAGCCTCCCCGTTCACTTCCGACAAACTATCCGTCAAGCTCAGATTTTGTCCATTCTGTGTGGACTTTATTTTCTAGAGAAAAAAAAAAAATTAAACTCTGCCCATTCTGTCCTTAGAACTGTCAGTTATATCTCAAGAAGGAGATAATGCAGTTTCCGCTCAGAGAAAATATTAGAGCCATTCCTTTAGAATTGTTGGCTCACCATGTAACAGCAGCCCAAAAAGCAACAAAACACTGGGCATCACAGAAAGGACATTGAGAACAAAATGAGAGTATCATTTTGTTATATAAATTCTTCTGTTCCATCTACCTTGAGCACTTTGTACAGTTCTATTACTCAAGAAGGATGTAGCAGAATAAAAGAAGATACAGAGAAGGACAAATAAAATGTTGAGAGGGGTGGAACAGAGTATTTTTTCACAGGGAAAACAGTTGGGGCTGTAGTTAGGAGTAGAAAAAGTTAGGGGAGGATATGATACACGTCTAAATGTCATTGTTGATGAGATTTATGTAGAATTCTTGCTCAAGACTTCATGAAGACAAGAAATAGAAGACACTTGACAAAATTAGCATGAGATTAGATAAAACAGATGCATATTCTTTATTTAGTCAGTGAACTGGAGCTTGCTGCCATGGGGAGTTGAGGCAGATAGGTACTCAGTTGACTTATAGTGTCTAGTGATGTTAAGAAATGAAATTGTGTCCTGTGATAGAAAAGGATTAAGTATCATACCTCTGTATTAACTTTCCGATTAATGGCACAATAACCTAGTTAAAATTTGAAGGCAAAGTCACAAAAAATGTGTTTTCCAACATCAGTGAAGATTTTGTTAGCATGATTTTGAGGATAGTTGCTCAACTTACCACTTGAATTTTACAGGGGAATTGCTCATATGATAGCAGATGACCAGATGGGTTTTCTGTGTATCTAGTGTGTACGTGAAAACAACTATAAATAGTAATTCTCTTATAAGAACGTATTTTGAGTTATTTGATTTCTTTAATCTCACTACATACATAATCAAATAAATTCAGTGGAGGAGATTGCTATCAAATATTTTAAAATATTGATGTGTGTGTTAAGAATTATATATATATTTTTTTTAAAAAAATCACAACTGCAGATAAAGTGGAGATCTTTTTCAGGATGTCAGATAATATTGTTATATTGTGGAGCTACAAAATAGGAACTCATAATTTTAAAAAGTTCAGTTGGAATTCATGCGTTCAAACAAATGTGCAATTATCCTGTCATTATAGCTGTGTTATATGTGTGTGTGTGTGTGTGTGTGTGTATAATATATATATATATATATATTCACTTCTTATGAATGATCTTGGTTGTGACCTTTGTTTCACAATAGTCATTCTTTGATTGAATTAGAGATTTGATTTCTTATGCCACTGGAAAATATTATTATGAAGCTTTAAAGATTAAATCCTTACCCTGTTGTTGATTAGGGCCTAATTTTTCATACTTCCCATATTATTTCTGATAAAATAGTAAAATGTTAAAAATTTCAAATATGGCACATTTTATCATTTAAATATACAGCCTTTTAATCTCTTTTTACATCTATAATATAGGATATAACCTCAGTGGCATAGCAAGTAGAGAGGAACAGAGATAGCAGCAGCTTGAAGTTATTCTCTTGGAGACAGAGACTCTAAGCAGGACTGTAAAATGTGACCATTTACTACTTAATGGATGAAAACTGGCCTAAAAATGTAAAAACAAAGTACAACTTAAGCAAACATAGAAAAAATACATGAATTTAGCTAAGTAATTGAGGGAAAAGAAATGTTAACTTTTAACAAACTTATCCTTTTATATGGTCTCTTCTTTAGGATAATTACACATTTGCTCAGCCAGGAATTCAAAAGAAAGTGAAAATGTTGGAAGAACTTGTTAGACGGATCGATGGTAAGTCCTAAAAGCTGACCTAATTTCCAAATGGTGTTTCATTGCAAGTGCTTAGTTAAAACGTTTGCGAGAAGTCAAGCCAACATCATTACAGTTACCTATCATGGTGGTGTAACGTAGCCTTCCTCAGATGAGTTGTCACACGCGATCAATTTGTGGCACACTGGCCTTTGCAGGATCACTATCGTGTATCATTTAAAAGAAAGCCACTAGAGCATGAGCCACTTTCATTACTTTTTATTAAGGCAATATAATCAAAATTCAATGGCAATTTCTTTGCAGCAGAGTAATGACCACATACAAAAGGCAGCCAGTATTCATTTCACATTAAGCTCAACGATTGTTGCAATTCGAGAGAGTCACAGTGGTTGTTTATGGTTGTCCTTCGGCACTATGTTTTGTGCCTTTGTGCATCATTTTGCTCTCTGGAAAGCCTGAATAATTTCTCTGTGGAATCCAATTAATTATGAACTCTGGAAATAACATCTTTAATATTATAGATAAATTACAGTGTGTGCAGGGGTAATTTTAGATTATGCTTTCATGTTTTAGCAGGGCACTTTGAAATATTTTCTACCTTCATCTTTAAAATAATTCCCTTCATGAAATGCTGACTGTCATATTGCTAGAGCAAAGTTTAATTAAATGAAATGCAAGAGATAATGCTTGCCCATTCTAAACATACTCTCTTGATAGTTTGTTAAATTAATGAACAGAGTATTAACAAAATGTTGCCAAGCAGTACCAAGCATATATTTGTGATACTAGCCTTTCAATGATGAGATAGAAAAAATATTTCTTCTATAGCTTAATACTCTATAATCTTCTTGAAAAGATTAATTCCATCTTTTCATTTACATACTGTGAGCTTTCCTTGTGCCAGTGCTTACCGTAGCATTTTTTGGTTTGACCTGTACGTATTTACATACTGAATATTTGATATAGTACTTCTATGTCCTCTTAGTGTGATAAAATATTTAATATTCAAAAAAATAAGGGAGGAAAACAATACTTATGTAGTATTACAGTATGAAGGTATACTGTATAAAACTCTGTTGTGTAAATATATTTTTATCTTAAATGTAAATTAATATAAAAAACTAAGGAAATGCTTTTATAATCTATAATCTATAGGGAAGTAAAAGTTATATTAAAATATGTCCAACATAGTGTAATTGGTCACTTAAAAAAATCTAACTTCTTTGAGTGTGTCTTTTTATATGTGTTATTTTATGCTTTTATTGATATTAGTATTTTCATATTGGTTATTTGTAGAAGCACGTATTTGTATATTTAAGTAATTATAATGCCTACAAAATAGACTTTCTAAAGTATAATGAAGCATTTATAAAAAATTCCTTAAAACCAAACATTTTAGATGGAAAAATATTCTGATGATCAATTTTTTTTTTAATTGTTTATTAAAAATAGCCTCTAAAAGGGGAAGAAATCCTAAAGGTTTGTTTGTTCTTTTAGTGCTTTGATACCTTTTCTATGCTAGAAATATTAATTTCTTACGCTTAATTTTCTTACGCTTAGAGCTCAGGTATGATTACTAGTTAATGTTGATGCATGCAGAAGTGAGGAGGTAATATCTTAAATTAACCTCTAAATCTAAACTGTTCATATAGTTGAGTAGTTTAAAACTGCCTTCTTGCTTTGAGTGGTGCTGCTGAAGAAAGCAAAACAAAATCCTAACTTCAAGAAACGGTTTTATAGCAGATATATTTTACAGCGTGTGTAATCCATATGACATGTCTGCAGCGCATAATAGATCTCAAAGGGAATTCTTAAAAAAGAATAATGGGGAATATAACATATCAAAGTGAGTGAAACTTCATTATTCTGTAAACATGTATGGAAAATATAGAAGATTTTTAAAACAGTGACTTTTGAGAAATGGACCTACAAGAGTTGGAGTATGGACTTGACATTGCAGGTCCTAGAACAATTTAGGTTGGATTCGGTCTCTGGAAGTCATGTGGTCTAAACTCTTTCATCAGCCCCCTTGCTAAGCTGACAGGGACAGCTTAGGTTGGGCTCCTCGGAACCTCTGGCCCAACTGGGTTTTGAGTAACTCTAAGGGTGGAGTTTGCATAGGCTCTTTGGGCACTGTCAAAGAGTTTGACTACCCTCATTGTATTTTTTTTTTTTTTTTGCTAATACCAATCAGAAGTTAATTTTATGAAACGATGACCACTGCTGTTTTTTTCTGTCTCTTTTCATGTTCAGGAAGAATGTATCTCCTTTTCTTCTCCACTCACCCATTAGGTAGCTGTAGCACTAAGATCCATCTGTAGCCTTTCCTTCTTGAGCAAATCTAGTCTACCAAATCTACCTTGGGTGCTCCAGCTCCCTAACCTCTTTGGGTGCCCTCCATTGGCCTCTTTCAGTATCCCAGAATTGGATGGAATATTGTAGGTGTGCCCTCAGAAGAGCTCAATGGAGAGGAAGAATCTTTCTTGCTGCCAGGGTGCAATGTGGACTTGGGCACTACCTGTTGTCCAGCTGGACCGTTAGGTCTATAGCTGCCTTTCAGCCAGTTCATGACGTTGCATGGGGCTTTTCCATCCCATGAAAGACTCAGCCTCTACTGGACTTCTCAAGATGCATGTCAGCTCACTTCTGTGGTGCCTCTGTTGCAGTCCTGACTTCCAACATATCGCCCTCTCCACCCAAGGAGGACCTTGTAGTGCTGTCCATAACTTGTGTAGCTGTACAGTGCAGACAAAGCTTTGATTTGTATAAGATTTGCAGTTTTCAAAATTCTTAGGGCTGTGTCTCTTGCCTTAGAAGCTTGTGCTCTCAATTTTCACTTTTATGAGAAAAATACAGGAAAATATGTGAACGGCAAACCTCTTAGTTGTTAAAATGGTAGTAGCGATGATACAAAAAAAGAGATCAGCATCTGTTTGACTTTTTGGTGGAAGCACAATATAGTTTGAATAAACTGATTTTTTCCTGTACTCTACCACGCTTCATGCGTTTATTGCTTTTTCTTATTTATACTAGGTCTGCTATGTTGTAGCTTAAGTCAAATACGTGATTGGTGTGAACTCAAGAATTTTGGTTGTAAAAAGTTATCTCTTCATTTATATTTATTATGAATCTTTATAATAATATAAATATATAATATAAAGATAAAAATATCTTTAATATAAATAATAATAAATATAAATATCTTTATATTATATATCTATATTACTATAAAGATGAATATTTATATTATTATAAAGAAGAAAATAATATTCCTGTTATTGTTGTACCACTGTTTTCTTGATGCTGAGTAACCCAGTGGTGAAGAGAAACTTAATATGATAAGTAGCTGCTTGAGTGGGTGAGGCTTGTACAGCTTGTTTCTTAATTGTGGTGGTTTACCAGCATATCAAAAATGATACTTGCCTGCTGGAGAGTGTTAATGCATTACTTCAGTGATCCAGGCAACCTTCATTACTTCATTCTCATGGATCACAACTCCTCTTGAAGTAACCAAACTGGGTGTACAGTGCAGAACACTGCAATATACCTTAAGCAGGCTCTGCTAACCTAAAGGTAATGTCTGGCTATTTAAACTCTGGAAGATAGAGTTAAAATAGCCATGTATTCAATGCAATTTTTGTGAGTTTATTGACAAAACTTTGTTATAGAACATGTGGAATTTGAAGGTAGAAACATCATTCAATCTCACTTATCTCCTTGTCATAATCTAGGTGGTTCTACAAATTATTAAAAAAAAAAAAAAAAAAAAGAAAAGAAAAAGAGAGAGAGAGAGAGAGAATTAATAGATAACTCAATAATACAAAGTATCTGGTATAAATAATTATCTTTTCTATTTCCTGTAATATGGCAGTGAAGCTTTTCTATTGTAAATCATGAACCATCTCATGGTTTGTTAAAGGTCACATTTATATTGGATGATATGTTCTAGTATTGCTTCATTTAGACTACAAATCAAAGAAATTTGTAGTATAGCAGTGTTGAAATTAATTCAGGACTTTTAGTATTTACTGATGTTTAACATTTGGCTAGCTTCATGCCTGGGAGTCTCAGCTTTTTCAGTTTAGTGAAGGACATCTGGTAATTACATTAGAGCTTCACATAATGATTTAGGGAAGGTTGAACTTTCTTATATAAAAAGAATCAACTAAAGGTATTCTTACACATGATATTTCATTTGAGGCAATTTCTGGTTACTCAAAAAATAAAAAATATTGAAAATATGATACTGAAGTTTGTGCAAAAGAAATTTTACGAATTATGCAAGAGTAAGTTTGTGTTTAGGGCTAACTGAAATGATTCAAGAAGTTATTTTATTCCAGTCATTTCAGAAAGTAGATTAATAATCATTCCATCATTGTACTGTTTGGGAAAGTGTTTTAGCTGTTGTATAGCTGAAATAAAATGTTCTCCACTGTCCTTTTAAAAGCCTGGGATACTAATGATTTTACGATTCCACTGATTTATTTATCTATTTATTTTATTACTGCCATATTGTAAATGGTTTCTTTTATTTATTTAGAATAGAATGCAAATTCAAAAATGCATTTTCTTTTAGTATTCTGGCCAAATCAGTCTTTGTGTCACTAATTGCAAGATATTTATCTATTTCTGCCTTGGGATACAAGTGTCCTGGTTGTTCAGATGTTTGCCCTTCTGAATAACGACACAAAGAATGACTGTCAACCAAGCAAATTGTTCTAAAGCACTTATCTTTAATGACTTTTAATTTACATTTTCCATGTAATTTTGTTATATAGAATATAGAAAATTATTATACATAGAAATATAATCGCTTGCATATATGTCTAAGATGAATACTTTATGAAGCCCAGCCAAGGTAATTTTTTTCATTTTTTAATGTAGTGTTACTTATACAATGAAAGTACTTATTCAGTTGCACCATTCTATGTGCTTATACTTTTGCAACTACACTAGTTGCATGTAAAAGATTATCTGATACAGTATTTGATATTTATGTGTTATGTTAAGGTTTCTTGATT